ATCACAAGGGGCTTTGAGTTCAATGCTACAGGGCAGTAGGTGATAAATGACTGCCAGACAGCCACTTCTTCAGTTTCATGACCCTCACCTCCCAAGCTACAGCTCACAGGTCAGGACATAAAGGACCAGAACACAAAGCACAGGAAATGTCGGTGACAGAGCTGGTCAACCAACCAACCAAAAAAAAAGTAAAACACTTTTCCCCAAAAATGGCTTTTTTATTTAAAAAAATTCTCATGGGACAAAATTATTTTCTGCTGAAATGTTCTGGTATTTTGACAAAAAAAACAAACAAATATTTTCCAGTTTTGTTTTTTTCCATTTTGCCACTGGAGAAGGGGGCATGGGAAAAGGAAAGGGGGGGAAGGGGAGAGGAAAGGGTTCCGAGAGGATGAAAAAAGAGAACATTTTTCTTTTGAGGGGAGGGGAAACTTTTTTCACAAAAAATAATCACAAAAAGAAAAGAAGGAGTACTTGTGGCACCTTAGAGACTAACCAATTTATTTGAGCTATTACCAGCAGGACAGTGGGGTGGGAGGAGGTATTGTTTCATATTCTCTGTGTATATATAAAGTCTGCTGCAGTTTCCACGGTACACATCTGATGAAGTGAGCTGTGGCTCACGAAAGCTCATGCTCAAATAAATTGGTTAGTCTCTAAGGTGCCACAAGTACTCCTTTTCTTTTTGCGAATACAGACTAACACGGCTGTTCCTCTGAAAAAAATAATCAGTATTTCTTGGCAAGTAATTTCCCCATCTGCTCTGAAGGTGGCAGGCCTGTCCTATTGCTGTACTTTGTATACTGAGAAGCCCTGAAGTGGGGAAGGGTGGAAGTAACTGACTCTGTGAGGAATCCCCATCAGCATCTCAGGCCAGATGACTGCAGATCTACAGGAAAGGGGGATGGTTCGGTGTGAGACAAGCTCTCATCAAGGATAAGAAGGGGGATGGTTTCCCTTCTGGGAAGATTGAGACAGACATCTTCTCTACTGCCAGAAATGTATGAGTGAAAATCTAGAGCAGGGAGGGGAGTTTCCACCAGGTCATTTAATTCCCTGCCTCAGACACTGCCTCGTCGGAGCTGGCAGAGACATCTGTGGGTGGTGATGGAGAAGGGAAAGTGGGGAGAAAACAGGCAAATGAAGAAAACAACAGCTGGAGGGTGCACTGGGGGCCTGCACTTAACCTCAGGGGGGGTGTGGGGTTAAGGAGTGGAACCCCCAGCAAGCAATTTATGACCAGTATGGGAGCGAATCCCACTGTCATTGTTTGTCTGACAGAGCACCTCGAGACTCCAGCTGAGCTCAGGGCCCAATGCGCTCAGTGCTGTATATACATATAGTGAGAAACGACCCCTGCCTTGAATATCTAACAGTTGAATAGACAAAGGCTGGGAAAGGAAGGATTACTATCCCCATTTTACAGATGAGGGGACTGAAGCACAGAGAGATTCAGAGCAACATCTTCTGTCCTACCACAGGACTGTGCTACCTTTCCGACACTGATGGAAGGGTTCCAGGGAAACCCCATAAGTCCAGGCTGGGGGAGATTCCCCTGCTAGCGGGCAAAACTATCCCATCTCAGAGAACAATCTGGCTCTGTGTGTTTCAGTTCTTGTCGCCAGGACTGAGGGTGTGCATAGTGATTCATTTCTCTCGCAAAGGTTCTGTGTTGACATTCAGATGAGCCTTATCGCAGGGCTCTTATCCTTTGGGGTTGGGTTTTTCCAGCTGCTATAAGGGCAAAACTTTTGTTCAGTTTTCACAAGTTAGAGAGAGCGGCTGAGTGAGTGTTAGAGCAGAGCCTCCGGTATGAATCGGCTGATCCTTTTGATGCTTTGCCTTTGGCTGGCCAATGGGTTGCAAAGGTAAGCAGGCTTCCTTGGCCTTTCCTCACTTTTCTGGGCACCCAGGCGACGGCAGCTCTAGGGTCAGGGCTTGCAGTGAGGTTCATTCCCGAGGACTTGTGAATTTTGGCAACGGTGAACGTTAAAACAAACAGCAGCCAGAACCGTGTGCCCAGGCTTTAAACAGCACCCGACACAACATTGCTGGGTGGGGAGTGGTAGGCAGGCTGGGGTAGCATGATGCTCATGAAACTGAGGGGGAGAGCACCAGTCAGACCCAGCTTTGTAGGGACCAAGCAGGGTTTCCATTCCGGTCAGAATATCTCCTCAATGGCTGGTGAGATGACTCCAGTGGATGGAGACAGAGGCTGGGGACCTGACTCAGAGGAGATGGTGGGTTAATATGAATTACCTGTTGGTAAATGGGTGTAAGAGAGTCTAAATGGATGTAATTCACTCCTGAAGGGGCCAGCAAAGAAGGATGGACCAACTGCCAGGAGCAGGAACCAGGCATAAACTCTACTACAGTGTTTTAACATTGACTTACCTGCTTCCAACTCCTCAGCTTGGAAGCGATAACAATTTAGACTCCTTCACCCTCACTTACCTCTGCCTAAATTACAACTCACCTCCACGCTTGGTTCTAAGATTCCGGACTGCTGGGGTCTATTGCTGGCTCTACCTGTGAATCGCCCCCGGGGCAAGTCCGTTCACCCCCTTGTATCTCTGATATAAAGCCGAGATAACACCACCTCCTGGAAGGGCAGGGTTGAGAGTTTATACTGATGAGCATTTTAAAACACACTTTGGGGTTCTCAACTGAGCACTGCCCGGGAAGTGAAAAGAATCATTATTAGGTCGCAGCCGTTAGCGTCAGTGGGCAAAATGGATCTGGATTTCTCAACACTAACAGCCAATCTCTGTGCTTATCTACTCCCCTTGCAAACTCACTGGAGTCAAAGGAACAAACCTTGGTGCCACTGAAACCAATGGGTGCCACTGAAACCCTCCGAGCAAAGGACTAATTTACTATTTGTATTGTGATCACACTTAGGAGCTTCAGTGCTCTCAAAACAGCTGCTCGATGTGCAGCAGCAGTCAAAAAAGCTACCAGAACATTGGGGATCATTAGGAAAGGGATAGATAAGAAGATAGAAAATGTCGTAATGCCACTATATAAATCCATGGCACACCTGCACCTTTAATACTGCGTGGAGTTCAAGTTGCCCCATATCAAAAAAAGATATATTAGAACTGGAAAAAATACAGAGAAGGGCAACAGAAATTATTAGAGTATGAAACAGCTTCCAAAAGAGGAGAAATTAGAAAGACTGCGACTATTGAGCTGAGAAAAGAGATGACGAGGAGGGGAACTGATAGAGATCTGTAAAGTCATGTCTGGGATAGAGAAAGTAAATAGGGGAGTGTTATTTACCCGTTCACATAACACATAAACCAGGAGTCACCCAATGAAGTTAATAGGCAGCACGTTTAAAACAAACATAAGGAAGCATTTGTTCATACAATGCACAGGAACTCGTTGCCAGGGGATATTGTGAAGGCCAAAAGTATAACTGGGTTTAAAAAAGAATTAGGTAAGTTCACAGAGAATAGGTCCATCAGTGGCTATTAGCCAGAATGGTCAGGGATGCAACCCCATGCTCTGGGTGTCCATAAGCCGCTGACTGCCAGAAGCTGGGACTGGATGACAGTACATGGACCACTTGATAATTGCCCTGGTCTATTCATTCCCTCTGAAGCATCTGGCACCCTCCACTATTGGAAGACAGGATACTGGGCTACATGGACCATTGGTGTGACACAGTATGGCCATTCTTATGTAATGTCATAGACCAGGACCCCACTGTACTGGGTGCAGAACAAAAAACAAAAAAAAGGTCCCTTCCCCCAAGGCTTACAATCAAAGTAAATACCACACACCAGTACATGTGTGCCTTCTATCAAATGCCATGCACTGGGTAGATGGGCCAATCCACAGTGTACTTCTGCAAGCCTTCTTTTAATTCGGGTTCCCCAGTTCCTGTTGCTCAGGACCATGGTTACTGGGTGAATGCTTTCTTTCCCCAGGGTGCCCCTGAGGAGACACAAATCCCTGCGGAAAATCCTGAGGGAGCATGGGCAGCTGTCCAAATTCTGGAAGGCCCAGAAGCTGGACATGATCCAGTACAGGGAGGACTGCTCCGCCGTCCCAGAAACTAATGAGCCACTCATCAACTACCTGGATGTAAGTTATGCAGCAAGGGGTGGGGAGAGGGGGTGAGGCAGCATAGGGGCACTGCTTTGCAGAAATCACGGGAAAGCCATGCAGGAAGCAGAGAGAGTGCATTATTTTACATGAACAGCCTTGAATGCCCTACATCCTGACCCTTGAGCTCAGCTCCTGTTAAACAGAGTGTGAGCAAAGCCAACAATAATGTGCCATAGTTATCTGTCTGCCCGACTTTTTACTGGTCTTTTGTCCTGTGGGTATGTGATTTGTGAATGTAATGTTGATCCCATACAAAGGGCTCCATTCAGTGTATATCACACACACACACACACAAATCCCACTTTTCTCCTACTCTTGTGGACATGAAGCTAGGGACAGTAGCCTAGAGCCAAGAACCAAAATCCCCTCCAAAACTAAAATACAATCACACAAGCAGAGCAGGGCCCAAGCCAGAAGGTTTAGACCCAGAGACCAACTTTCCCAGTAGTTGGGGGTTTTCCCAGACCTGAGGTCTTTGTCTGGCCTGTTATAGTGTCAGTGGTTGTGACATTTGGTTCAAAGCATTCCCAAAGTTCAGGGCATGTTTGGATCTTTATGGGGATTCTGCTTAAGCCTGTTCCTGCTCCTACTGATGCCCGTGGGAGCTGGGCCACCGAGATTGACTGGAGCAGGACGGAGTCCACAATCATTGTCCATTTTCATTCTGGATTTGTTAACATTTTTCCAGGCTCTAGCTGTATCTGGCTCCCACTTTCCCCCTAGCATCATGCTGCAGCAACCTCCACATGGTGTCAGCCATTCCAGAAACAAACTCAGCCCATTGCAAACATCCATCCCATAGTTATTCCCCTAGAGCTTGGCTCTCTTGTGGTTTCCCAGGGTGCCTATGCCTAATAATGGCTGTTGCTTTGCTGTTTGGCTAGATGGAGTATTTTGGACAGATTTCTATTGGGACCCCTCCTCAGAATTTCACAGTGTTATTCGATACTGGCTCCTCCAATCTCTGGGTTCCATCAATCTATTGTGTCAGCAAAGCCTGTGGTAAGTAGCGATTCCTCAGCTGCATATTGCTCCTGGACATTGGCTGGTGCAGAGTAGAGAGGCTGGGCCTGATTCTCCACTCAAAGTAAATCAAGAGAAAAATCAAGTAAAATCCATGGAGTTAAAACAGTGTAAATGAGGCGCGGGGGGGGGGGGCGCAGAGGAGAGGGCAATCAGCCTTGGAGGTGCTTAGAGAAATCCCCCTCTTCATGGTCACCTTACTAGCTTCGCTGAACCACTGCTTTCCAAATGCAGGCAAAATTAAATATGCTCCAAAAGAGCACAAAGTGAATGCACCAGCATGGAACCCAGACCATCTGCACTGAAATCAACCAATAGGAAAAAGGGATGTAACAAAAACGGAAACCCTTTGTCATGCACACTGTGTGTTAGGTCCTAAAAAAAAAAAATCTGTTTTGTTACAAGGCCATTGCATGTAATAGCAGCGGTACCAGGCAGCAGTCCTGGAAACTACAGGGTAATCGAGACTGCAGCCTTAGTTCTGGGCAGCAGTCCCAGGAATTCAGCTTAATAGTACACGTGGTGCTGGTTCTGGGCAGCTAGAGCAGTGATGTTTTCCGTGTAACAGGCTGTGGTGAAGGATCTGGGCCAGTGGTGCTGCAGCTTTGAGGAGTGGGTTGATCAGTAGGCAGGCTCCTAAGGAGTCAGATCATTGCACAACACGTGTGTATTGTGCCTCAGAATTTCTGTCCTTGCCGGAAGCCGGATGAGGGGGCGATAGATTATTGGGACATGGATTAGTTAATGTATAATTCCTTAGCAGCCAGGGACAGGTCAAAGGAGCCTCAAAGGGTTGTGTCGTTGTGTGTGTGTTGGGGGGGTGTTTGTCCATTTTGTCTAATTATAGACGTTGGCTCCACTCCCAGTTAAGACTCTCTGGTGGGCCTGGGATATTCACAACTGATCTTGCGCAAGTGGCCACTCTGATTCTGAGTGTCCAGCCATAAGGGGGTGTCAGGCTGGACACCCAAAAATGGAGGGACCCCAAATCAATGAACACTTTTCATAGTGTTGGCCCTAGTCATGACAACTCTGTGCAACATGAAACATTGAAAATATGTTTATAAAGAACTGAGAATTGTGTGGAGAAATCACTTACTGGACTATGTGGAGACCAGGATTCCCTTTTACTCCAATCCAGTGCTTAGCGGGGGGCTGCTGTAATCTATACTCTGCTTCCAAAAGCTCCCTCCCACCTGAGGGCTAAGGGAAGCCAAGAATACTCAAGGAGTGCAGCTATTCTCTGTGTAAGCCTCCCACACTGGGGGTGGGACAAGAAGAGGAGCTGGCTCAGTGCTGTTCTGGTAGCAATACACCACTACCTGGGGGTATTCACCCCGGCCTGCTTCTACCCTCTTTCTACTATTCCTTTATGATCTCAGAGTGGAAGAGAGAATCAGGCCTAGGATTTAAGTAGGTTAGTCACTTTCCCTCTCTTTGTGTCTCAATTTCCCCAGCTGTAAAATGGGATAATAATACTGACTTCCCTATCTCACAGGAGTGTTGTGAGGATAAATTAGTTGTCTATTGCACAGTGATTTGAAAACTTAAAGTGCTATCAAGTTCTTGCAATAATATGTTTATTTGCAGCACTTTTCCAGCCATTAGATGACTCCATATCTAGCATAGAGTTCCAGATGGGTAGTGGTGCTTGGTAAACACAGAACACAATGCTGGAACTCAAGTTCTGTGGAAACCTGTTTCCTTAGGTCTACAAGTTGCAGCTGTTTTCTTTAATAAACCTCTCCTGTTTAAGACAAACCGTAACTGGACACATGACCGTGCTAAGAATTATTATTCTTTGTAATACAGAAAATACAACTCTAAATGCTCACATTTTGCTGGAGCTCTCATTTACAAGTTAACCTGACCGTGCCATTGCATGAGTAATTTCAATTGCCTTGTTTTTTTGTTCTGTGTTTGGACAGCACCTAGCACAAGGGGGTCCTAGTTCACAGCTAGAGCTCCTAGGTCAGAGGTGGGTAAACTACGGCCCGCGGGACCATCCTGCCCAGCCTCTGAGCTCCTGGCCTGGAGGCTAGCCCCCGGCTCCTCCCCCATTGTCCCCCCTCCTCCGCAGCCACGCCGCCATGTGGGCAGTGCTCTGGGCAACGGGGCTGCGCGCTCCTGCAGGGCAGCGTGTATGGCTCCGGCGCAGCTCCCAGACTTGCTTCTCTGAGCGGCATGCTAAGGGGGCCAGGACCGGGGGTTTTGATAAGGGGCTAGGGGTCCTGGGGAGCAGTCAGGGAGCAGGGGGGTTGGATAGAGGGTGGGTTCCCGGGGGGGCGGTTAGGGGCAGGGGGTCCTGGGGGGGGTCAGGGAACAAGGAGCTGGGCGGGGGGGCAGGAAGTGGGAGGGGGTGGATAGGGGGCAGGGGCCAGGCTGTTTGGGGAGGCACAGCCTTCCCTACCTGGCCCTCCATACTGTTTTGCACCCCGATGTGGCCCTCGGGCCAAAAAGTTTGCCCACCCCTGTCCTAGGTGCTACAGTAATGCAAGCAACAAATAGTAATAAAGGTGGCATCTTGTTTTACTACAGCTGCGCATTCCAGATTTCACCCATCAGATTCCAGCACCTACAGTAAAGTTGGGACTCCTTTCTCGATTCAATATGGGACTGGTAGTTTGTCGGGAATCATCGGATCAGATCAAGTCACTGTGAGCAGAGTCTGGTTTTCTTTAGAAAACTTTAAAAGGTTCTTCTCCCCTTTTCTCTCCTGTCCATGGCACTGTGACTGCAGGGCATTATTTTGTCACCAGGGGCATGTTAGCCCATCTCCCATTGTTCTTTCCTGGTAGGGCACCATGACTCCAGAACCTTTCCTGGCTCAGCTCCCAAGGAAGTCAGTGGGAATGGAGGGCAATCTGCACTTCGAGGGAGGGGCTCAGAACATTGCAGGACTGGGTCCTCGGAGCATGCCTGTTGTAAATGAGTGGATTCCTCACCCCACTCCTGACACCACACACACATTTACAACTGATACAACTAAACCCCACTCATCTCACTCAACCACACTCTCCCCAAGTGTGCCTTCATTCTTCATGAAAATAACAGAGACCTAAGGCAGGACTCCACTTACAAACATGAGCATTAGACCCTAACTCCTTTTTGAGTGGGCTGATTAAAATTTATACCTGCAGGAACTCCTGCCCTTCTCTTTAGTTTGCTGCAGATTAACTTTGAACTTTTATGTTCTTGCTTGGAGCCAATGAGACACACCTGGTCTAATTACCAAGATGAGTCAGCATAATAGCTCTGCACTTCACAACAAGATCCTACACCCTGAAAGCCTTCCTTTCCTGTTCTCTCCTGTTATGACACCATGACCTGGCCTCCAGAAGACCAAATTCTTCCTATTCTTTCCTGCCGTGGCATAATACGTGGCCTGCTGCTGAGCCTTCTGATGAAAGGTCAGAAACAATAAGTAGCTTTTCTTTCCCCTCTAGGTTGAAGGCATCACTGTCAGCAACCAGCAGTTTGCAGAGAGCGTCAGCGAGCCAGGAAACACTTTTCTGGATTCTGAGTTTGATGGGATTCTTGGGCTGGCCTATCCATCACTGGCAGTGGATGGGGTTACCCCAGTGTTTGATAACATGATGGCACAAAATCTGGTGGATCTGCCAATATTCTCAGTCTACATGAACAGGTGTGAACACAATTCTGTACAAAATGGGCCACTGCCTGAGGGTCAGGCCTTGTTCACAAGGGAATTGGGAACAGGCTGGGCCCCAAGAGGGGAATGGGTTTTTTACTTAGATTGTAAGATTTCTGGGGCAGAGACCGCCTTTTTGTTCTGTTTGTACACCTGGCACAATGGGGTCCTGGCCCATGACTGGGGCTCCCAGAAACTACCACAATACAAAAAATAAACAACAACATTAAGTATTTTGGGGAGAAAACTAATGGATTTCAGGAGTTTAAAGAGCTATGTGCACAGTAATAGGATTATATAATGTGAAATGCTTCTGCTAATGAAAAACCTGGATGTATCCAAATCCTCTTTTCTCCAGGAACCCGGATTCCTCTGTTGGGGGAGAGCTATTATTTGGTGGCTTTGATCCTTCTCATTTCAGCGGGACTCTGAACTGGGTGCCAGTCACTAAACAGGGATACTGGCAAATCCAATTAGACAAGTAAGTGTCTGTGTGGGGGTGGCACTGGGTGGGCACAGATTAGAGGTAAACTGTGTAACCATTAAACCCTGTCAATTCAGAACAGCAGCAATCCAAAGCCATTCATCCTCTAAGCTACAAGCACTCACCCAGGAGCTCGATGCCATGATCAATCAGTGAACAAAGGGATTCACTTCGGAAAAAGGATGCTCCCAAACCTCCTGCCTTCTCTGGCTCTTGAACAGAGACGAAGGATGGTCCTGTGCTTTGGACACTAGCCTGGGATGTGGAAGAGCCAGTTCCCAGCTCGGTCACACACTCCCTGTGTGACCTTGAGCAAATCATATGGTCTTCCATGCCCCAGGTCCCCATATATAAAGTGAAGGTAATAGTCCTTCCCTGCTTCCCAGGGGTGTTTGAGGTGCCCAGATACTACAGAGACTGGGGGGGGGGGGGGGGAGTGGTGTCACATGAGCACGTAACAGACAGAATTGCATCTTATGTTTTGAAAACCATATCTGTATTAAACTAGGTTCCCCCCCGTCTAGGGTCCGTTTTTAAAAAATGCTCAGGACCAGATTTCCACAGCATGCAGCCTCCAGCAGCCCCCAGGGTGACACTGGTGGGCAGATTTTCAATAGCGCTCTGCACCCAACATGCAGGCTCTTGCAAAAAACTGGCCCACATTGGGGGAATGAAAACAGAAATGTTCTCTCAAATAATAGACTTAAATAGCCCAATATATGTACCTTGTTGATTCTTCATCTCTGCCTAGAAGCAATGTAATGTCTTAGGGTTTGTCCAGAGACGTAAACTAAAGAGAATGTAAAATATTTAAGGACAAGCCTCACTTATATTTTATGTACATGATTTAAAGTAGCTGAAATCTCCATCACTGGTCAGCAGCCACAAGAATCCAACTTTAATATAACCTGCAAGGCATACATGTAACACACTTGCAAAGGGTAATTTGTCCCCACCTAGTGGCGGGGCCAAACAGAGAAATAGCAGGCTACTAACTTCTATCAACGAAGGAAATTATTCCTTTGGCTGAAGTAATAGAGGCCTATGGTTTGATGCTGCAGGTCCTGAGTTCAGCTCCTGGTGATGACCAGTTTTTGTTTTATATACACGGAAAGCAATTCTGCTAATCAGTTAATTGTGCTCTTGTATCTGAGTACCTCGCAGACACCAGAGTAACTATCAAGCAAAGCCTCAGTACTTACTGTCTAACCACATGCACAATCTTATCAGACTATCCCACTGAATCTGGAATGGTCACAGTTCTGATGTGTGCTCAGCCATGTGCTGGGTCGGAGGGGAGAGGAATGCATTGCCCATAGACCCTTTCTCCAATGCTTGTTCCATTTTCTTCTTCCCCAGCATACAGGTGGGTGGGACAGTTGTCTTCTGTGCAGAAGGATGCCAGGCGATAGTAGACACCGGGACCTCTCTAATCACCGGTCCTTCCAAAGAAATAAAAGAAATGCAAAATTATATTGGTGCGGTGCCCATGGATGGCGAGGTAAGCCAATGTGAGATGAGCGGATACCACATTTCCTGGATGCAGAAATTCTTGTCTCCCCATGCTAGATTTCCAACCAGGATATAACTCCTCAAACACAATATTACAGGAATATTTGAAGTTTGGCATCTCTGCTGGAGACAATAAAGGCTCTAGGTTTCAAAAGGCCTGATCAGACCCATACAATGCCTGTCAGCAGACAGCCCTGGTAAAGAGATAAAGGCACTAGCTATTGAAACCCTGCCTTTACCATTATGCCACTGCATATCACGTGGTCATATCCTTGCTGCAAGTCCTAAGGCCTCAGAGACACACAGCCTTTCCTATAGGTCAGCCAGGGTCTCTGTATATAAACACTGCCGCCAAATTTCAATTAAAATCTAGATGTAGATATCCTTCCCTGTCCCCATAAAAGCAACAAATACTCATGCTGGCCTATTCCCTTTTGTGTAAGACAATTATTAATGTTGCAGGACTGCAGCACTTAGAGATTAACAATAAAGTGCCTACAAGGCCATGGGCTTATACAGGAGACAGCAGGGCTTAGAGAACAGAGTCCTGGGTTGAGAACCAAGTAACGTAGTTCTATCCTGAGGCTCCTTTGCTGGGCACGTCCCTTACCCTCTCTGGGTCTCATCTGCAAGGGGCATTGAGTGTTGTAACAGCTTCCCATCCAATGCAGAGTTATTCCCTGTTGTACATTTACCACCATCCAGCAACAACTTAGTACATTTTACATGAAATCAGCACTGTATGTTTTTTCCTAGGGTTTGGGGTTGTTGTTTTTTTCAGAAGGCTCCTTTTGATACAAGGCCCCTAACCCGTGACGTCCTCCTCCATTGAGGGTATAATCGACATACAGATAGCATCACTGCTAGCTAGAGGAAAGCTGGCTTGGGCATGACTACATGAGCTGAAATCGCATCTCTGAGCTTCATGCCTACCCCTAACCCATACACCTGCCAGTAACAAGTCAAAGGACTAGCTCCCAGGGTCATCTGCTTGGGAAGGGGAGTGCTCTATTTACTAGGCTTCCTGGCCTTTGGGGTCAGCACGCCAGGTAAGCTGTCCCTGCAGCCTGGGCTTGGCCAATCTGTGTCATGTCTGTCACTTTGCAGTACACCGTGGAATGCAACAACCTGAACGTGATGCCTGACGTTACCTTCACCATCAATGGGATCCCCTACACGCTCAGTCCCCAGGCCTACACCCTCATGGTATAAACTTCTTCCTCATTCTGAAACTGGCATGACAGCATGTGTGTCCGGTTTCTGTTGTAGGCTTATGTGCAATCCAGCCTTGAGATGCAGGCTGTGCTCAGTGAAGTCCCATTTTTAGCTCAGGCAGGAAGTTGGGAAGCACAAGAGAGCCTCCAGCCTCTGTTTAATGTTCACAAGATCAACTGCTGTTCTGTAACAGTTCAGACTATGAAAAGGGTGATAGGGAGTGTGGTCTAATGGTTAGAGCAGGGTGGTGGGAGTCAGGACTCCTGGGTTCTGTTTCCAGCTCTGGGAGGAGGGTTGGAGCATGGGAGTGGGCACTGTATGTCCCAGAATCTATTCCCGGCATTGAGCTGGTGGGGGGTCGAGTGGTAATAGCAAAGCGATTGGGAGGCAGGAGTCTTAGAATCAGCTCTCAGAGGGGTGTGTGGTTTGAGTACTGGGCTGGTAGTTAGGAGTCCTGCATTTTCTTCCTGGCCTTTCTAGAAAGGTGGGATTTGTTCTCATATTCACAATTCCTCTTCCCCCTAGGATAATAGTGACGGCATGGCATTCTGCACCAGCGGCTTCCAGGGGCTGAACATGCAACCACCAGCTGGGCCGCTCTGGATTCTGGGTGATGTTTTCATTGGCCAGTTTTACTCTGTCTTTGACCGTGGAAATAACAGAATTGGGCTGGCACCAGTTGTCCCTTAAGGCAGTGTTCCCTAATGGTCAGAGAAAGGCAGTGGGAGTCAGTGTAGAGCTTGGTTCTATCCCTGGCTCTGCCACTGTGTGACTTTGGGCAAGTAACATCATGTGTCTTTGTGCCTCAAATTTCCCCAGCTGTAAAAACAGGGATAATCATACTGACCTCTTTGTAAAATGCCTTGGGATCCTTGGCTGAAAAGCACTACAGAAATGCAAAATCTATCAGAGGGCATTTGTGTGACCAATACAAAAATGTCTTTGGTAACTTTGTTAAAGCCAGTTTGTAGATTTTGATTTTATCCTTGAATCAATGGAGATTTTCATCAAATCAAAAGAGAATTTTAATTCTCGTTTCACATCTAAAGATGCAACAATCAAACTGAATTAGATTTGAAAGCTACTGCAGAAAACATCGCTGGCTTCGGTAGGCTGAATTGTGCACGGTGGCATCACCCTTCACCCCCATGAATTAAAAGCTTTGGATATGCCTGAAATAATACCTCATGGGTGTCCTCTGTATTAGCAGCATCTTCATCGGATTGGGAAGAACCTTGACTGTGCAGGTGGAGGATATGGTGACCAAAGAGGAAGTCTTTTTGTTATATGGTCTGATTGTCTTTAGCCTGCAATTTTCAAATGAGCCCAAGAGACTTAGGAGCATGAGTTCTACTGAAAATCAGTCGGAGTTGGGTTTCTACCTCTCTGAGGTTCTTTTGAAAGCTCTTAAAGGTCACATGCTGTGGTCAGGGGCAGAGCAGCGCTAGATGGAATGTTCTGCACGAAAACCTGATACTTCAGCCAGTTTTGCTGAGGTTGGTGAAACCTGGGCAAAATGTGGAACAAGCCTGAAGTGAGCCTGGGGTGTTTATGCTTTGCAAGCTGCTTTCCAGTGAGTTTTGCTCGGAGCGTCTGGGTTATTTCCCGAGATGTAGATAGGGTACATGCGCTTGCAGAGTGAGTGCGGGTAAAGAAAACTTTGGGCCAATCTCCTCAAACAGACAGCACTGCGCTTGGCACAGCTGGAAAGATGGGTCCTAAAATGGGCAGCGCTCTGCAAAAAAAGGCAACTGTTATCAAAATCTGTGTGTGTTAGGGGTCAGCCTGCCGCTCACAGTGGTGTCCGGAGCATGTGACTTATTAATGGTGAGCATAGGGCTTAAAGAATACATGTGAGTGAATTTAGCACCCACAGCTCACACATGATGTGTCTTGAGAAATGCACGTAAGTCAGCAGAAAAGGGAAGAGAGGGGAGGGTTATTGTTAGCCATGTGTCTTTTCTGAGATATTCATACTTGTGTGGAATCAACCCCACTTAACTAATAGCCAGCACAAACTCATACAGCAAATAGACCCTATGTCAGCATATCCCAAAGATGGAGGATATCCAAGAGCAGAATTAGACATGGTGGATATTAGCCATGAGCCTGAACTAACCCCCTAGATCCAGAAAGCCTGTGAACTTCAGAGACATTTCTATCTGGGGCTAAACTTTGCAGCTGATCCCACTCTTCAAAATGTGCTAAACCTAACACTCCAAAGCGTGGGGAGAGTTTGGGTCTGAACCATGCAGCTTGGGCTCATTGCTCGTGTACATGAACTGACTAAAACCAAACTGGAAGGGTGTGCCTATCTCGTTCAAATAAAGTGATTGTGTTGCTATCAAACTCATTTGTCACTGTGTCAACCACAATTCATTCCTGCACTCACTCCACTTTGTCTCGGCATATTGCTAAATAAGGTACCATAAAATGGCATGCAAACCTGTCTTCTAACATTGCCAGCTACGAATCCTGATTAGCATACAGAGATTTGTTTCCCTCCCAAACAAGAGTTACCAGGCATAACTCCACCACAAATGGCAAGAGGCAGCAGCTGAAAGTTGCTTCGTATTTAAGCTCTCAACCTCTATAGTGTACAGTGGGATTGATTTCCCCATACCGTACTTACCCACCCAGTACTGTGGGTGAAGAAGCACTAGCCAGACAAGCATCCAGCAAGAACCAAGAGATGGGATGCCCTAAACCCATTAATTAGAACCTTTTGGAGCATTGAGGTTTGTCTCCTATTCCAGTAGAGGAGAGAGAGAGAAATTCTCATAGGCATCCCTATTTTTCCTCTGAAAGGTTCACAGAAATATAGAATTTAATGCTGCTATGGCCCTGGGTGCCCTAGAAACACAGAGGAGGAGACCCATGTGGTCCTATCCAGTCCCTCTTACCCAGTAATGCAAGATTGTTCTCCCTAGCTAAGTTCTCAGTGTTTTGCCTGAGTAAGCTTTGGCCATTCCAAGCAATGGAGCTTCCACCTTTTCCCCTGCTGATTGAATTATTGTGAAAAATATGAATGGCGATTTTAGACCTTTTTCTCCTGCAGTTCTCCATGAGGAAGTGTTTCTTTTATTCCACCAGCTCCATTGAGAAGTTGTTGCAGCACTTGGGACAAATCACGGTCAGGAAACTTTCCCCGATACTCAGCAAAAAAATAAAATTAAAAAAAAGTTCCTTTTCTTATCCCTTGTTGACCTATCCCCACTACACTAAATAATTTCTTCCCTTCCTCTCTATGCCTTTTCTTCATAAGGTTTCGCACCATTGTAGTTCTACTGATGGGAACTGTATGGTAGACAGAGCTCAGGCAGCTGCCAACTTTTCAACCGTTGTGTCTCCTAGACCTGCTCTGAGCAGGGTCAGATGTCCTACCACCCCATACCTTCTCCAAAGCACTGACTGTTGGCCTAATTTTGGTCCCATTTAACTCAGTGGTGAAGCTTCCATTGATTTCAATGGAAGCAGAACTAGGTCAACGAGTACTTGAGACATTCCCACCCCATGGTGGTTAAAACACCATCTACCCATGTACACAGGAGCTACCGTGATTGCTACCACTGGCAGAGTGGCAGTGGTGGAAAATTTTAAGAACAGACTAGAATGGAGCTAGCCCTTGGGTGAGAGCTCACCTGATGGTGGTGGGCATGGATCAGCATTCACTTCACACTCCTCATCAGTACCCAGCCCAAGCTGGGGAAGCTAATGATGCAACCAGTGGACCAAATTCAGTGATGAATCCTGGCCTTGTGCCACTTGAGGCACGTTGCATGTACACTAAGAGGACAACCTAATGGTGTTAGGTGTCTCGTGGAAAAAATCTCTCTTTGGGACTTGTGGCCCCCACTGTATCTCAGCATCTCACAAGCTTTCCTGTGTTTATTCTCACAACACCCCTTGTGAAGTAGGGCAGTGCTATTATCCCCATTGTACAGATGGAAAACAATGGAAGTTAGGAGCCTAAATATCTTTGTTGATCTGGGCCTGTGTCACGCCAAGCTCACACAGGGAGTCTGTGGCTGAGTAGAAAGCAGACATTGGATCCCCTGAGTTGTAGCCTTACACCCTAACCACTGAACCAGCCTTCCTCACTAGCTCCCTAGAAATGCCTGTCATAGTTTAGAGATGTTTTTCTCCACTGTCCCGTGACTAACTTAGTTAGTAAGCCACACCCACAAAGACTATCATAATCAGCTGAAGAGGTCCTTCAAATGAGTCACATTGCAGGATACTCAGCAAAAGTATGGGGAAGGCAGCAGAGTCCGGTAGGATACCACTGGTAGGAGTTAGACCAGGCAGGAGGATGTTGAGAAGCAGAAGTGAGAGCTGGAGCCACAACTGTTCAGTGCTCCCTGAGTCACTTCACATTAGTACACAGAGAACATCCCAACATTTGAAAGGAGAAGTAACTGGATGGTGAATTGCTACTGGCTCCTAGGCTGTGAAGCAATCCCAGCCACGAGGCATGTTTCAGCGCTTGCCCTCAGAGCCTGGGATGGAAATGGATCGATCAGCTGACTCTAGGCAAAACATGTCCATTCAGTTCAGCATGGCTGAGTATGTGAACTGCAAAGAGGCCAGAAGTAGCCGCAGAAAGGGTCAAAGAGGGCCTGGCCAGGTCAGGCTTGGGGATATATTGCTACTAGAATATCTGCCAGGCTTTTGCTGGAGAAATGGGGATGGTCAGAGAGTGATCCTTTGAGCAAGGCCTGAGGAGGAGGAGGAGGAGGGTCAGCACGGAAAAGGTAGACTTTGGAAAGAAGGACTCCAGAGCTTTGGGAAAGAATGTGGTGAAATGCTAGAGCCTGGCAAGGTAACTGTAGGGATTTAGGACTTAATCCAAAGACCTTAGTCTTTCTATTGGCAGTGACGGGTTTTGGATCAGGACTTTGGGGCACAACCTAAGGCCAGGGCAACTTCGGGAGCAGTTGAGTGAGAATAATACCACCTGCCAGGGAAGAGTTCTCCAGAGTACAGAAGGGTGCCAGCTAAATCCTGCCTCAGGTGCCATGTGCCCATAACATGCTGCATCATCTGCTGCTTGCACATGCCATGCTCTGGACTGGCATCATTTTAAAAGCATGCGTTGTGTCCTTTGCTGTTTACAGAACAAGAGCAATGTGACAAGCCCACAGGGGCACAGTTAGGTCCCACATCACCAAACACAAGCGTGCCAGGCCTAGCTATAGGCATATTGCCTTTCCGATTGGTTTCTGTTAGCTTCTAAACACTAGAACACAGTGAGCTCTAATAGACAGCTCACAAATGTTTTAAGGAGTTGCTACCCTATTCCTATACAGCATAGCATGACAGAGTAACAAGGAGCAAGGACATGCCTTTGAGCTGTATGAACAAGGGGTAAACTCCAGGTAAGTTGCCCCTTGTTTCTTTTTTTCTGTTGAGTCATACGACAGTCACGCAGGCTGTGAAATTGCTGAACTTCTTGGGCCATGTAGTAGTACCCCTTTATGGGGAACTCTGATCTGTAGGTGTAAAAAAAGCAGAGCATATGCCTTTCGGAAGAGTCAGTGCCTGTAAAAGACTTTCAGTTTGGTTTGTAGCATGGTTAGGCCAACGCTACGCTCGGAAAAACTAGACCTGTAATTCCCCACCTCTGGGAGCGGTAGACCAGGCAAGACCAGGTGTTTGATCGCTGTGCTGTCTGCCCCCACCATGACTCCATTCCTCAGGATGAAGAGAAG